ATCACAAAGAATTTGGGAATTTAAGTTTTTTTTTTTTTAAGCATTTCACCCCAAGTAAGGCGGGATGCCACTAGTACGCAGGGGTTACAGAGTGGGAGCGAGTATGAAGAGGTGTAATTGAGGAAAGGGTGAAGAAAAGGGCAGGGGATAGTTTAGGGCATCTGGAGATGTCGATTGACATTACATTTAAATAGTTAGAGATTATAGCTATCAGAGAAACAAGTAATAGGAAGGGAATTCCACAGCCGAGAGGTGCGAGACATGAAGCTATTGGAGTAGAAGAGACGGCCACATTTAACCGTTTCGACAGTGAAATGGCGGGACCGTGACACCAGCCCAGTAGCACGCTTAAATTCATGCAGTCTGAGAACTAGCGAGAGTAGCTCGTCGGAGCACTTACTGTGAAAGTATTTGTAGAAAAGGCATTGGGAGACGACGGCACATCTTTGAGAGAACGACTGAAGATGAGATGCCAGATCAGGACAAACCACATTGCTTATCCGTCTCTGGATCTTGTCGAGGACCTTAAGGCGAGCAGCGGAGGCACCAGATCATATATGGCAGCAGTATTCCATGCAAGGGCGAATGGTTGATTTATAGATTTGAATGAGGGACTCAGACGAGAAAAACTTTTTGGCGCGACACAGGGAACCAAGTTTCCTTGTGGTGGACGAAGCTATTGATTCAATGTAATTGTTCCATCTCAGGTCAGCGGACAGTGTGAGACCAAGCAGTCGTAAAGGGGTGCTCTCGTGGAGTTGAGCATCAGACATTCCAATGGGCGGCAGGGATGGTTCCCTGTGGTGAGTAATAGAGAGTAGTTTTGTTTTAGAGGCAAGTTAATCAGCCAATTCCTGCCCCAGTCTACAACCGAGTGGGTGTCATTTTCGAGACTAACGGCCAGGTTAGTTTTGTCAGCGATACTGGACTTGCTATTGAGGCAGGAGTAAATAGTATTGTCGTCAGCATAGATGCCTACTTGGGAACTGATGACATCGGTGATATCGTTAATGAAGATAAGGAACAGAGTAGGGCCTAGGATAGATTGGGTACACCGGATGAGACGAGCGTTTAGTTGGAAGTGAATTTCCGGGCAAAACATTCAGCCTTGTCAGGAGGAGGTCAGGACCTCAAATTGGTTGAAGAAAGGAGGTATTGAAGGTTTGCTGTTGTTAAGTACACTCTTGCAGAAACACCAATAATTCTTGGAGTCGAATTTGTCAGATGCAATACGTTGTTTCATTCTATCAGTAAATAATGACTGCACAATTTGGTTCGAATACCACGGACGTTAGAAAAGGAAATGTTGAAGGTTTGTTTTTGTTTTAAATTAAGTTTAAAATATCTCCAAATTTTTTTGAGATGATGAAAACAATTTTATTTCTTCAAAATGACAAGGAATTAGAATTAAAGTGACATGAGGTTTTGAAATTCCACAGAGTTTGTAATTTGAAAAACTCAACTCAGTTGGAGTTTCATGGAGTTTGTGATTTGAAGAACTATTTACGGCCTGAATTGGATTTTCGACCGAAGTCGGACTTTCGCCCAGAATTGAACTTATAGCCCGAATCAGATTTAATGTGAGGTTTTGAAGTTCTATAAAGTGAAGTGGGGAATTCAAAGCCATCATTCAAAATTATCTAAGCTTGACTAGAGATTCCTTTAGTTTTGGACCAAAGGCCTAATTAACCCTTTGCCGGAACTATCTTAAAAGTACGCACGGAATGTGGCTTTTAAGCTAATGCTATATATACAGCAAGAGAGTTTCGTTTGTCATTTTGTTTTATTCTAGTATCAACTCCTTTTTATAAGCGAGAATGAAAGACAGTTCAAATCTGCTTACAAAGCCAGGAAGTGTAAAATCAATTTCGGGAATGAGTTCGATATTTATAGGACTATTTCCGCTCATTGATTCAGTTATCATTTTACTTTGTTTTTAAGTTTTAATTCATATAAGAAAAGGTACAGCACACTTGCTACCACTCTGTAGTGTGTGCATCATTATTATGACTTAAAAAATAAACTTTTGATACGTTTATATGAACGAGTTTTTATGTATTAGTTAATCATGCGGATATTTAACTAGGTCATTTACGTACATTGACTTTACCAACGGATTAAATAAATTGATACATAACTTTCTTTAACCACAGCGTATTAGCGCACACAGGCGACAATACAACACACGCATTAATTATGCTAGACTGTCACAAACAACATTCCATTACTGCATGTTTTTTTTTCTGCGGAAAGAAAAAAAAGATAAGAAAAGATTCATTTCAACGAATGCTTATTCCCATGAAAGTGCTGTCAGAACAAACCCACACTTTTGTTTTCAACCAACCGAAGAGAAATCTATTAAACAGAGCTTCTTAAACGTCGATATTACAATTTATTCCAATTTTAGTAGTATCCCGTCGTGGTAAGAAAAAATTTTAAAAGTTAATTAGTCTTTACGATAATAATAGAATATTCAGGAGAGTGTTGTAAAATTAACTGCTTGGTTTCAATGGGAACCAATAAAATTATTTTATGAAAGATTAATTAGTCTTTGAAGATAATAATAGAATATTCAGGAGAACAGTTATCCATTGGGAAAAATGAATTGGATGGATCTACATGGATCTCTTGTTTAAATTAATTCAATGGAACATTGATCAATAAAAGTTTAAATTAATTATGGAAATTGATTAACAATATACAGTATAAATAATTACATGAAGGAACATAACAAAAGTTTAAATTAACATGTTTAAATTAATCTACATGGATCTACATTGATCTAACAATACAGTTTAAATTAATCTACATGGATCTACATTGATCTAACAATATACAGTTTAAATTAATCTACATGGATCTACATTGATCTAACAATATACAGTTTAAATTAATCTACATGGATACATTGAGTTTAAATTAATCTACATGGATCTACATTGATCTAACAATACAGTTTAAATTAATCTACATGGATCTACATTGATCTAACAATACAGATCTAACAATACAGTTTAAATGATCTAACAATACAGTTTAAATTAATCTACATGGATCTACATTGATCTAACAATATAGTTTAAATTTTATGGAATTAATACAGTTTAAATTAATCTACATGGGATCTAACAATACAGTTTAAATTAATCTACATGGAACAATATACAGTTTAAATTAATCTACATGGACATGATCTAACAATACAGTTTAAATTAATCTAACAATATAACAATATACAGTTTAAATTAATCTACATGGATCTACATTGATCTAACAATATACAGTTTAAATTAATCTACATGGATCTACATTGATCTAACAATATACAGTTTAAACATAATCTACATTGATGGATTAAATTAATCTATTGGATCTACATGGATCTAACAACAATATACAGTTTACAGTTTAAATTAATCTACATGGATCTACATTGATCTAACAATATACAGTTTAAATTAATCTACATGGATCTACATTGATCTAACAATATACAGTTTAAATTAATCTACATGGATCTACATTGATCTAACAATATACAGTTTAAATTAATCTACATGGATCTACATTGATCTAACAATATACAGTTTAAATTAATCTACATGGATCATTGATCTAACAATATACAGATCTACATTGATCTAGTTTAAATTAATCTACATACAGTTTAAATACAGTTTAAATTAACTACATGGATCTACATTGATCTAACAATACAGTTTAAGTTTAAATTAATCTACATGATCTAACAATACAGTTTACATTAATCTCATGGATCAATACATTGATTTAAATTAAATTAATCTACATGGATCTACATTGATCTAACAATTGTTTAAATTAATCTACATGGATCTAATTGATCTAACAATATACAGTTTAAATTTTACATGGAATTGATCTAACAATATACAGTTTAAATTAATCTACATGGATCTACATTGATCTAACAAATACAGTTTAAATTAATCTATTGATCAATATACAGTTTAAATTAATCTACATGGATCTACATTGATCTAACAATACAGTTTAAATTAATCTACATGGATCTACATTGATCTAACAATATACAGTTTAAATTAATCTACATGGATCTACATTGATCTAACAATACAGTTTAAATTAATCTACATTGATCTAACAATACAGTTTAAATTAATCTACATGGATCTACATTGATCTAACAATACAGTTTAAATTAATCTACATGGATCTACATTGATCTAACAATACAGTTCAAAATTAGCACAAACCAGAAGCTGTCGTAAAGAATAGAAAAATAAACATTCAGAGTTTCGAATTCATATTAAATCCCCAAATCTAGGACAATGAACCAGATGCAGTCAACGTAAACAAAGGCAATCTGTCAGGTTTGACCTTTGCAGTGGAATAGGGTGAAAACGAAAAAGAGGTATTACCTGTAAAAAAAAATATCTATACCATACAATTCAGTGATTCAGGTTATTTAAAGCCAGGGGTTGAGGCAACAGTGGAACGTGTCCCTTTGTAAATTTTCGAACTTGATGCAGAACTGCGATGGTTGGCGTGATAGTTTCATGAATATCCGAGTTAACCCGACCGAAAAAATAATAAAGCCAGAAAATATTTAGATTGTAAGAATTTAAAAATAATAATGATTTAGTGGTACAAGTCAGGCTAATTAACCCGTAGTTGAGGGGAGAAGTGGTACCTGGACCTTGCGAGGGAAATATAAAAAATATTTGGAATATGAAAGTAACTATTTAAATTATTTACAGTCAAATTGAGGTTGCCATCTTTGTTGTTATTATCATTATATTATGATGTTGCTATCATTGCACCATTCGGGATTCTTCAGGAATCTGTCGATCCGCACCCCCCTTTCAGGGAATTTCGAATTGACGCATTTAATCTACAATGGTAGAAGTGAACAACGGAATGAGAAAATCTACCTTATCAATCTATCTATACAGGAGATAGATAGATAGAAAATACAAAATATATATATTAGGACCTACAAAGATAGATAAGAACCTAAAAAGATAGATAGATAGATAGATTATAACCTACGAAGATTGACAGATAAGAACCTTTAAAGATAGATCAATAGATAGAAAAGGACCTACAAATATAGATAAGAACCTATAACGATAAATCGATAGATAGATAAGAACCCACAAAGATAGATAGATAGATAGCACACACAGATAGATAGATAGATAGATAGATAGATAGATTATAACCTACGACATTGACAGATAAGACAGAAAGATAGATCAATAGATAGAAAAGGACCTACAAACATAGATAAGAACCTATAACGATAAATAGATAAGAACCCACAAGATAGATAGATAGATTATAACAGATAGATAGAAGCACATTGACAGATAGAAGAACACTTCAAAGATAGATCAATAGCACACACAGATAGAAAAGGACCACAGATAGAATATAGATATAGAATAGATAGATAGATAGATAGATAGATAGCACACACACACAGATAGATAGATAGCACACACACACAGATAGATAGATAGATAACACACACAGATAGATAGATTATAACCTACGAAGATTGACAGATAAGAACCTTCAAAGATAGATCAATAGATAGAAAAGGATAGATAACGATAAAGATAGATAGATAACCCACAAAGATAGATAGATAGCACAGATAGATAGATAACACAGATAGACAGATAGACAGATAGATAACAAAGATAGATAGACAAAGATAGATAATAGATAAGACACAAAGATAGATAGATAGATAGATAACACACAAAGATAGATAGATAGATAGATAACACACAAAGATAGATAGATAGATAGATAACACACAAAGATAGATAGATAGATAGATAACACAGATAGATAGATAGATAGATAACACAGATAGATAGATAGATAGATAACACAGATAGATAGATAGATAGATAACACAGATAGATAGATAGATAGATAACACAGATAGATAGATAAGAACTCTCAAAGATCGATAGATAGATAAGAATCTACTAAGATCGATAGATAGATATTGTTTCCATATTGCGAATTATCAGAAAAAAACAAACGAGTATTTTCTTTGAAAACCATTCCAGAAAATAAAACTGCATATTTTGAGTAAAGTCTGGTGCAATTTATATGATCTTTTAAATGTATTTATGGGTAATTGACTGGAACAGCACGTGAAAAATATAAGATTCTTTCACAAGCAATAAAATGGTTAAGTTCATTGCTACGAATTAATTTACATGGCTTTTAATACGAAACTTTCATTTCAGTCTCGTGTCAAGTTTATTTTATACATGAATTGACACTTTTTTCAACGCTTCGGCCAGACACAACCGAAAGAAAAGATAAATTCAACAAACCATTGACATATCAAATTTTACATACATAAACCACAAAAATGAAATATTTCGCAAATTTTCTCAAAATTATATTTTCCCATTCACTATTTATTGCTATTTAGCACGCAGCAAAAAATAAGATTATTGCATCGGAAATTAAAAAAATAAAAATACATGAATAAATCCCTTTCGCATAAAAATGCTTTTCATTTTATCTTTGTTTCTACCCCTTCATTTCTGATGATAATGCGATCTATGGGATGATAAAGTCATTTTAAACTGCTTCATGTTGTATAGCTTAGTTCAGTTACAATCTTGCTTTTAAAATTCCGCTTCTTGCTTGAATGGATATTTTTGTTAGTAATAAAACATAATAGTTATCTTTCGCTTCACGCTCTTTAAATATTCGTCTCGGTTCAGCCAGCGTTGTGCGATTAGTGCCTGGTTTTGGTTCGTCAGATGTGGAGAGACGTGGGAAATTCGACTTTCGAGTACAAAAGTAAACTCATTCGACCGATCTTTAGAAATGAAAAAGCAACGAGTTGCATGTTACATGTTATTATCGTTTTGTGAATCTGCTGTTTAGAGGTATAATATTTCACATAGTTTTAAAAAAAAAAAATGCCTTTTTTTTTATAATCCATTCTTTGCTGGAAACAGCTATTCAGTTTTTGGCCCTTGTCAGAAACTATTTTCTTTTCTGAAGGACATTCGTAAGTATGCCAGTTGTTAGCACAACCGCTTACAGAATGAATTTTCAAAATATAATGATCAGTTTTATTTTTCATGTGCAATGTTCTATAAACGGAGACGAACATAGCTCTCCAAAACTTCCTATTTTTTGTTGCTGTAAGTAATTTTTCAACTTTACCCTCCGTCTTCGTTCTTGTTTTTCAATCCATTAAGACTATTTAAGCAGGTTACTCACTGTTGCCCACCTTCTCTTACTGGCTTCAGTATGTCCTTTGCGTGTTAAATTCTCCAGTTCTCCTTTTCTCTTTATGTATTTCATTTATGTCTCTTTCTGACTGTAAAAATCATTCATATTTTCCTTAAAACTTTCTCGTTACTCGCATGATCTCTCCATGGTTTTCTTAGCATTCGACAGAAGAAACATATTTCTGTAGTTTCAATTTTTTTCATGGCTTTCGACGATATCACGTTTAAAGACCGGTTGCCGTACGAAGTTAAGCAAGGTCGAGCCTGCTCAGTACCTAAAATTGTTAATTGTTCCAGTTGGGATCGTTCTATACGCTTTCATTTTAAGCATTTCACCCCCAAGCGAAGCGGGAGTGCCACTAGCAGGCAAGGAATTACAGAGAGTGAAAGTAAGAGTAAAGAGGGGGCACTTGAGGAAAGGATAAGGAGAAGCACGGGGATCAAGATATCAGAAGATGTCGATTGATATTACATTTGAAGATTATAGCTATCAGGGAAGCACTTAAGAGGAAAGGAGTTCTACTGTCGGGATACGCACAATAACCTTGGGAAAGCTATAAATCTATCTTTTCTTTTCCCCGGATATGGAATAATTAGTAAGACTTGTATCGCTAAACCATTGTTATCTAAAAGATTCTTACAATCTAAAAATATTTTCTGGCTTTAAATAAGTTGATAAGCTGTAAAAAACGAATGAATCAAATATTTCTTCCTCTACAAGACAGTGTCCAGAATTCTCAGCCATATAGGGGATTAGACATTATATATTAGTTCAGCATACGTGCTTGTTTTTAACCCATTTTCCTATCTCTTAATACTTTGTTTAATTTCTGTATGACATTCACTATATATCTGCCTGTTCGCATTTCCGTTTCGCTCTGTCATCTGTTACTAAATGACGCAGATAGTTAAATGTCTGAATCAGATTGATTTTGCAGTCCCCAATATACAGCTCACGCCTTAGATTGTCTCTTCTGCTGAGATTAATGGTCAAAGCTAAATTAAAAGTTTACTTTATTCTGCATTCAACAAGTAAATAAAAGAATTGAGATTTAAAAGCAAAAACATTTCTCGTATTTATTTGAGAGTTAAATGGCTTCAAACCAGCACCGCTTGGCTTTAAATTAATACTTTGATCAGATGAATTCAAATATTCTTTCTTGATGTAATTTGCAAACTTTATTTTTTTTATCTTAATTAGAAACCAAATAACAGGTGCACTGACAGGCTGTTCCATGCTAAACGCAATCGTCAGGCCCGGCGATTGCGCCTAGTCTGTCGCCTCTGAGTGTTGACTTCAGTGTTCACTTTTATATATATATATATATATATATATATATATATATATAAGTGTGTGTGTGTGTGTGTGTGTGTGGTTAAAACGTTCACTTTCTGACCATGAGAATCGGGTTCGAATCTGACCATGGTCGATTTGTCAGGAAGGCGATTTCCTGATGTTATCGGACTAGATCGAGGTTAATTCCAGCGTACGGCGCCGTTGGAAAATGCCTGAAAACCATACCATGGGTTGACCAAAGCCTTGTGAATGAAATTGGGTAGAGGGAACTCTTGTGCGCCGTCGATAGCTGTGCTAGCATGAAGTCACATGTCATCGTGTCCGAGGTCTTGAGCATACTGCGTTTGTTCAAGTTGTTGATCAGGCTAGATCTTTCCCTGAAAGTGTAACTAAGATTTAGGTGGGCTTTGTGGGTGTTGAGAAAACACAAATGTGCCTGAGCGAGCGTCTGCAATAAGGATTGTCTAGCCGCCCTAGTAGACGGGTATCCTCGAATACGAGTGGCCAACTATTATATATGTGTACATGTATGTATATATATATATATATGATGATCAAAGGATTCTACCCGTAAGCGATAGTTAACAAGCTTATCTTGTAGATCATTGTTAGTATAATGATTCCAACATACACTAGTTGTTTCCCCACTCTTCTTGTAGAGAATTTAGTAGTTATCTCGGATTTCAAACGAGATGAGCCAGGACCAGTTTTCATTCACTGACAATAGAATGGGACGTAAGATTTATTTAACCCATATGGGAAGGCAATCCTAAGAGAACTAAATGTCCTACCAGGATTTATTATTTTCAGACACAACAATGACAACATACGATAAGCAAAGGATGCCGTTTTGATGGCAGACAGATAAGGAAAACAGCAGAAATGACAGCTCATGAAGTGAGGTACGAATTGAAGAGGTCAAAATTAATGAAGTACAGAAATTTAACTATTTGGGAAGTGTTTAAACAGAAAACGAAAAAATGTAAGGCAGAAATCCAAAAGCGAACTGAAACAGTGAATGATGCCTTCCAAAAGATAAACAAAGTATGAAGAAACGTGAAAATTTCGTTAAAAAACACTGAAAAGTTTGCTGAACTGCTATGTAATATTATTCTACATATATACAGTAGTGAATGCTGGACATTTTCCTATCAGATGAAGAAGAGACCCGGGATAACAGTTTCTACAGAAGAATGTTGAGAATACCATGGATGGAACAGGTAAGGGACGAAAAATTTTGAAAGAATATAGGGAAAAAGTATACCTATTCGTAGAATCAGAAAGCAGAAGCTGACATTTCTAGGACATAATGAGGAGAGGAGGATTGGAAAATGTGACACTAACAAGGCATACTGTAAGGAAGAGCGACATAGAGTAAAATTAACTAACAAGCTTGTGTAAACTGATGGCGGACCATGGACATGGAGGGATTAAAATTACAAAAGAGAGAAAGTTCTGAAGAGCCAAGATCATTACAACCTGAAGCGATAACAAAAAATGATATTTGCAAAAATATAACTAAACATATACTACGTAAATTTAATATGCAAACCGAAAGTATAAACATCACTGGATGAAAAGACAAGATGCGTAGCGGAGAATTCAAACGATCCATATCTAGCGCGATTATTGATTTCTTTATAATTACTGATGAATGTCGTTAGTTCAGGCAATTTTTCTGCGCGCTGTTTTCATTTTCATCGTCATATTTGGTTAAAACCAATCGACAGAAAGTTTCCATTTCTTTGGACTTGTACAAAGACTTTATACTTTTTACAATGTGCATGTATATTAATTTAAGTAATGTAGGCATATTCAGGCATCGCCATTCTACAACTTTTTGAAGTATGAAAAACTAACAAGGGCATTCCTTTGAAAAATACTACAAGTGTTAGAATTTCTCAGAATATATAAACATGTGTGTGTGTTAATTCTTAGCTTCTCTACTTCAAATGGTAAACAACCACAGTTAATTGGATGAGCATAGCTGAACAACTTTATTCAAATTCTTCGATTTGGTCAAAATCTGCGTTTGAAAGAATATCGGGAAAATATTTCTAAAAATATTATGAACATTTTTAAAATAAAATTATTTTGAAAATATGTTATAAATACATTTTTATGCAATATCAATATTACACAACCTAAAATAGTTAAATGTTTAGCAAACATACATTAGGATAACGTTACTACTCTAACGAGTTCTATAATTACTATATACCCATTCTTGCGTCATTGTTCCAGACTAAGCTCATCATAGTAGTTTCTCTGTGTCTTTTCTGTAAATTATTTCATGGTAATTGTTCTGATAAACTTTCTTCTATGGTACCTAGACGTTATGAATTTACGCGCAGTACTAGATTGGCGGTAAGGTCTCATCAATTTAAAGTTGAAATAGCTAGATACGTTCTATGCTAACAGTTTCTTCTATCGCTCATGGAACACTCTTCCGTCTTAT